TTTTTCATCACGTATTTTAGACACAGAGATCTCATTTCTCCTTCTCTTCCTGTGTGAGAAGTCTTTTCTCTTCCAAGAACTCTAACTTCTCTTGAATCCCTTGTACCTCTCAGACACTTTCATATACATCCTCTTCAGTGTGCTCTGGCTGTTAACTGTAATATGTACCTTTTCCTCCTCCTTTTCACCTCTGGCTGTTGTGGTTTTTCCACACAAACCTGGACATCCCTCTTCCTCCATCTTGCCCAGAATTACAGATGCCTCTCAATCTGGTGGGGTGTGATTCTTGACACTTGCTCCCTTCTTGGCATCTGATCTCCAGAGGAGTAGTCTCTCTACAACAGTATATTTAAGTTACTGGTTGCCATTATCTTCTATCTTGTCATCTTGTTACTATCCATTCAAATGCCTCCACTGTCATTTCTTACATCAACTGACAAGGAGGCACTCACTTTTGGAATCTCCTTTCTCACTCTAGTCTATTGCTTTTGGACCCATGACCATCTCATTTGGTTGTTGACCTGTCATATAGTGGAGTTTTGACCTCAAAGGCAGATTGTCTTTTTTTGCTTAAATAAGAACTTTCCATTGAGTGGTCTCTCCATCCTCTGGTGTTTAGTGGATTTGTTCCCACTTTGGGAGAACTCTCACCATCATGTTTCCATTATTCTGATTGTCAGTCCAGAACCCTGCAGCTCTGTCTATGGAAGCTCTGAGTCAGGATTGGTCCAATCTCTATCTTTATGTTTGTCAAAAAGCTACTTTCTTTTCCCCAGCCATTCTTCTTTTCTTTCTCCAATTTTTAAGGATCTCCTTTTAGCCTTCTCTTCCAAATTGAAACTTGTATTTTGTTCTCAGGTTTCCTACGTGTCTCCCATTTGAACCTTTGGCTATCTGTTCCTTTCCTTCTTTAATGACATTTTTTTTTTTCTCCTTACTTGCAGGAAATGTTGCTCTGACATCATTTGCCTTGTAAACATTCAGCACTCTTTACCACAAGTTCGTTTTATACCCAAGCCACTCCTTTCTCACCAAGACTTGGGCTGAACAGAAGGGTGATCATTTGTTTTTTCAGATCACTCTCCTTTCCTTTTTTTCTCTGTACAGTCATTCTAACATTACTTGTTTCCTTTGTCCTGTTCATACAGTTCACAGGCTCTCTAAGGAGATGAGTTCTTGATTGTTTCTTTTTTTTCTTGCAGCTCCCACAGTATATATACGTATATATATATATATATGCACTAGAGATGATGGAACTCGCCATGTGATCAATTTGGCCTCACAGGGTATAACAGACAGTGTTAAATGCATCTGCCTTTGATTTGTGTCTGCTTCAGATAGAGTTTTCTGCAGTACTGTTTTGATACTATATACATTTTATTTTCCAGACTGTATTTTAAGGGAGGGATAATAAGCAGCACTACATGTGATTTAATTCTCCCATCTGGTTAGCATTCGCTGTTCTTATTTGTAGCAACCTATTACACAGTCTGTCACTGTAGGACCTTATGCAGATGATTCCTGTTCATGTTGCACATCTCTAGTGTGTTTTCCACTGTGTGCCTTCTTCCCTCCTGTTTTATCTAGTGGAGTGGGAGACTCTTGCTTCCCAAGTTGCAAGGTGATCATCAGGAGAGTTCCCATTCACGTCATTGTAATCCCATTTTTATGAGACCAGTTGGACACACCACTCAGTCAAAAGTATGGCTGGGGTGTTTACATGCTTATGTAGTATTTGCCATCCATTACACTAATAACTAGACCATTCTCAGGGTTATGCCAACTTGTTGAGTCTTTTGTTTTACCTGGAATGATTCATCCCTGTATCTGCCTATTCTGGCAGGTATTTCAAATAATTATTTTTCATGTACTGTACAGCTTTGCTTATTACACTAGCCACACTACACAAAAATGAAGTCCTCTGATATGCACAACTATGTAAGAAATTGCATGTAGTTTTTGAAAGAGAAAAACAAGGAGTATGTTGTAGGTTATACTACCAAAAACAACAAGGTATTAATTACACATATATTTTAATACAACATTTCAGGCAATGCCCTTCAAGTATATACATA